ACCTTCAAGACCAAGTTCAAACTCCTTGGCTAGCACAGAGAGCCTTTCATGATCTTCATCTGCTTATCTCCAAGGCGAGGCTCAGGTACCCATCCCCAACACGCCACTGCACAACTGCATGGCTTTGGGCAAGCTGTTCTTTCCGCCTGGACAGCTGTCCCCACCCCACTTCCTGCTTCTTCTTCTTCTTCGTTATCTTCTTCCTTTTGTTTTCCAATTCATTGTTCAAAACGCAACTCAGTCTCTAGAAATCCTCGGGTTCATCCACTCCATCCTCTCTGAACCCCACCGCCCCACCCCACCCCCCCAGTGCCCTGCCTCTGGGCAGACCTTGAGCACCGTCCCTCACCACAGTAATTACCCAGAGGCCTCCTCCATCAGATGCTAAGCTCCTTTAGGGTAGCTTAGGCTGTCTTGTAGGACTTGAATGCCTGGCATATCCGAATGATTCTATTAATATTACTTAATGAATAAATAAATGCCTGCAGCAATGAATGAATGAATTGCCTGCAGGAGAAAAAAATGAGCTCAAACTTTGAAATAAAAACCTCATCCACTTGGGCTCCTGGAGGTCATGAATAGTGATAAGTTACTGAGCAGCTGGTCTAAAGTTTATCTTAATTGAACAAACCCCTTCCCGTAAGGGTGTGCCAATTAACGGCAGGCGCTGCAGGAGCCATGTTTAAGATCTATGCGAACTAACTGCTTCCCGGCGCCCTGAAGAACTCCAGAAGCACCTATTTACATAGAAATAATTGAAAATCATTCTGATAGCTCCAATAACTTGGGTCCCCGAAGACTGGTACCAGACAACAATTTGTTTGCTTCGTTGGAGTTAAAATACGGACTGAGAAGTAATAAAAAGTACACTTATTTTAAAATATTCTATCGTTCGGAGGAGCCGCCCCTCACCCACCCTGCAATTAGAAGGAATTAGTGAAGTTCCTCCGTGCTTCCAGCTACGCCCCGCACACCCAGGAAGCCAAGGTTCACCTATAATCTCTTAATTAGACGCATCCCTCACGGCGCTGCCCACCATCCTTCACAGGGATGTTGACAGCCTGTCAGCCACAGAGGACAGCTCTGCGCTCCATACCTCGAATCTTATGGATTTCCTATGAAAATTGCTTCGGCGGCAGCAGTTATTCAATTTAATAACCTTATTAAACACTTTAATGACTTTTTGGGCCTAATGACGATATCTAGTATGAATGAAGAAGCCAGGCAGAGAATTAAAAATTTAAACTAACTGATCCCTACTGTTCTCCATGGGAAAACAGGAAATACCAGACTCCTTGAAAATCTAATCCCTATGTTCTCTTTTAATAATCACTCTTTGATTTTAATATCCTCTCTCTCCCCGCCCCCACCCCCAGTTCGACCTTTGTTCCTTCATCCACCTAACTTGCCTTTTTTTTCCTTAGCTCTGATACTGAGATGAAATTAACAATAAAATAGCTGTATTGTACAAGGCACTGACAGGTGACAGGCACTGTGATAACTGTTTTACACATGTTTTGCTTTCATCTTTACAAGATCCTAAAAATTCAGTAATATTAGCATTCCATTAGCATTTCTTATTTACAGATAAGAAAAACAAGGCTTCTAACACTTAAGCAACTGGCCCCAAGTCAAATGGCCAATAGGCTGAGCTAGGTTTCAAATTCAGGTTCACCTTGCTCCAAAGCCCAGGCTCGCAAACATTCTTTCTATCCAGTGGCTCTTTTAGCAACAGTAAGTCCAAGTTACTTCAAATGTCACTGTAATTGCATGATTTTGGAGGGGAAAACATTATCTTCTTAGCTATTGGCTAAAACAGGGGTCCTCAAACTTTTTAAACAGGGGGCCGGTTCACTGTCCCTCAGACTGTTGGAGGACCGGACTATAGCTTAAAAAAAAAACTATGAACAAATTCCTATGCACACTGCACATATCTTATTTTGAAGTAAAAAAAACAAAATGGGAACAAATACAATATTTGTATTTGCATGTGGCTCGCGGGCCGTAGTTTGAGGACCCCCTGGGCTAAAATGTCGGTTGAAACCACCTGCTCTTCTGAAACTCATTGTATTTCATTTTTGTATTTCTAGCAGCAAGTACAGTGTTAACACATAGTCAGTGCTCATGAAATGTTTGAGAATTAGATTACAAAAGAGATTCAAAAACCAAGAATGTACAGGTTCTTCTGTGCTGAAAATGATAAGATGCTATTGAAAGAAATCAAAGAAGCATATATTTCTTTGTTTACATCTATATAAGTGTCATGCCTCTACTGTGTTCATGTATTAAAAAACTCAACATAATAGACAAATTCTCCCCAAACCCATCTATAGCTTTAATGCAAGTTCTGTAAAAATCTCAGTAAGATTTTTTTTGAAGGCATAGATTGTAAAATTTACATGGAAAGTCAAAGCAATTCTGAAAAAGAATAAAGTGGAAGAATCCCTGTTGCTGAGACCTATACAAATATGCCCAACTGATTTCTGCCAAAGGTGTGAAAATAATTCAATGGAGGAGGGATAACCTGTCAACAAGTCGTTCTAGAACAACTGGACATCCACAGACCAAAAGCGGAACCTCAACCTACTCCCAGCAAGCACCTTTCACAAAAATTCATGCAAAATGCATCACAGAGTTAAATGTAAACATAATACTTAATTTTTTAAGATTTCTTAAAATTGATTTTTAGAGAGAGGGGAAGGGAAAAGGAGAGAGAAAAACATCCATGTGAAAGTGAAACATCGATCGACTGCCTCCCCCACATCCCCCACAGGGGATCCAGCATGCAACCTGGGCATGTGCCCCAACCCGAACCGGCAACCCTTGGGTACACAGGACGATGCCCAAGCAACTAAGCCACACCAGCCAGGGCAAAACCATAAAACTTTTAGAAAGAAATATAAGAGAAAATCTTTGGGACCAGGACTAGATGAAGAGGACTTAGGCTTGAAACCACAAGGACAACCCATATAAGAAAAAGGTGATAAATTGGATCTCACCAAAACCAACACCTTTGCTCTGCGAAAGACCCCATGAGGAAGCTGACGACACATTACACAGACTGGAGGAAGTTATATGCAAATCACACATCCCTCAAAGGACTTGTATCTAGAATATGTAAAAGAACGCACAAAACATTTTTGAAAAGCAAAGAAATCAATTAGAAACTAGGCAAAACACATGAAGAAACATTTCACCAAGGAGGACAGACAGATGGCAAACAAGCACATGAAAAGATGTTCAGCATCACTAGCCATCAGGGAAATGCAAATCAATGTCACACTGGTCCATCACTACACAGTTTGTAGTGGTATTATCACTACTGTTTATTTTAGCACTAGAGGCCCGGTGCACAAAAATTCATGCACTTGGGGAGGGGGGTCTCTCAGCCCAGCTTGCACCCTCTCACAGTCTGGGAGCCCTCAGGGGATGTCCTACTGATGGCTCAGACCTGCTAAGCCGAAGTCTGGCCTCCCACTGCGGGAGGTGACCAGATGATCAGGGGAAGGCACTTCTCCCATCACCCTGCCCCTGCCGGCCTCCCTGTGTGGGAGATGACCGGATGGCCGATTAAGGAACAGAGCTAGCTGGCAAGGCTCCGCCCCGCCCCACCCTCCCCCATCGCCCCTCCTCTGCAGCTGCTGGTTGCTGCCGCCTCCCATCCCACCCCCCATCGCTTTCCCCTCCCTCTACCGTTCAGTTGATTTGCATATTACGCTTTTATTATATTGGATTTTGATAGTTGTATCATTTAAAATTTCTACTGTAGTCTACCTTAAATCTTTATAGTACATAACTGTGCTAACTGTAAAAACATTTACTCAGATTACCAAAAAAAATGAGATAAAAGCTAACAAAGCAAAGTTTCTAGGTGTTAGTGAGCATTCATTTTTCATAGCCCCGGTGAGAATTCTCTATCACAAAAATAAAAGCTTGTTTCAATTTGTGCTCACTTTCTCAGGACATTTTTTTTCCTATTCCAATTTAAACTGAAGAGTCATTCCTTCATTCATTCTTTCACACAATTGAAACGTATTGAATACCAACGCTGTGCCACACAGCTGATGCTTACAGAATCTAATCAATATCTTATTCACCAGAATTCTATTCAGCACTTCCACACAACAATCTCAAAATTAAAATTTAGTGCCCCGGCTGGTGTGGCTCAGTTGGTTGGGCGTCATCCGATGCACTGAAAGGTTGCCAGTTTGTTTCCTGGTCAGGGCTCGTGCCCAAGTTTCAGGACTGAGCCCCTCGGTGGGGGCATGCAGGAGGCAGCCAATAAATGTTTTGCTCTCACATCCATGTCTCTCTCTCTCTCTCTCTCTCTCTCTCTCTCTCTCTCTCTTTCAAATAAAAAATAAGTAAATAATATATTACAAGTAATTATTGAAAAGAAAAACAAAGATGAATATTTAGCCATTTTACATACTACATTCTTTACAAATAGCAGGCTTGAAAGACAGAAGGACTGTATCAAGTAACCTTCCTTTATTTCCTAATAATCCTTCTGACACCCTAAAACACATGCTACCAGGGTGTTACTTGCCACTTTGCAGCGTGGAGTGTGTTTAGTACCACAGCCTAGCAGGTTTGAATGATGATTTTTAAGAAAGCTCTTACTACTTCAGGATAAACTGTGGATAAGGTTCAGCTAGACCTGCCTTTTACAGAACTTAGAATAGTTCATGATATTGCGAGTTTCTTTACACAAGTCATGTCCAAAATTAAGGAACTGCCTTTCTGTCCAAAGTTACATAAGGAATTACATTAGGAGAAGTGCAACGGAAACATTCGTCTTTCGCAGGTTGAAGTAAGTGCCAACCTATCTTAAACTGTACCACGAGGACCCAATCGAAGGCAAAATCCTGAGTATGGAAACCTCCACAGGACAAAAGACGCAGCTCCTTTAACAAAGAAATTGCAAAAGGGGGAAAAGGCAGATTAATAGACTTTAAGCAGTATATTAACCAAATACGGTGTGGTCCTAATTTGGGTCCTGATTAGAACAAGCAAATACATTTTTTCCAACATAATCAGGAAAACTTGAACACTGCATAGTTGATGGCATGAAGGAACTAATGTTAATTATGTAAGGTGTGATAATGTGGTTTGTTTGTAAGAAGGGTCCATTGTTGACATGTGTACTGAAATATTTACTGATGAAATTCCAGAAAGTCTAGACTTTGTTTCAAAATAATTCACTGTGTGGTGGCAGGAGGAAATGGGAGGGGGTGGGCGGTAGCTTGGTCATGAATTAATAATGTATTAATTATTGAAACCTTAGGTACATAAGGGTTCATTATGTTATTCTCTCTGCTTTGTGTATGTTTAAAATTTTATAATGAAAAAACCAGAAAGAAAAAAAAAAGAAAAGAAAGGAGGAAGGAGAAATGGAGAAAAGGAAGGAGGGAGGGTAGAAAAGAGGGAAGGAAGAAGGAAGGGAGGAAGAGAGGGAGGGAGGGAGGGGGCCCCAGCAGACTGCTTCAGAAGAAGGAACAGAAGTG